TGGGGCCAAGATGTTGGTAGGGCCATTCACCTAGATAGGGAAGTCACCAAAAATGGTGACAGGAGTAGAGGTAAAAAGAACATGAGTCAAGTGTTGATAGCCTTAATGAATGAGGAGGGGTAACTAAAAGCTTGGTAGAGGATTGCAATGAAGAGGGGTGGGAGGTATAATCAAATGACATGACTGTCAAAGGAGATGGAGTCTTTGAAGGAGAAGGGAGATGAGAAGAAATGATTCAGAAGCAGCAATGGAGAGCAAAGTCCAGAGGAATAATGGACTTCCATCAAGAGGGCTCCAGGGAAATGGTGCCCTCCGGAAACATCCAGGTCTCAGGGCAAAAACATGAAGAAAGGGTTCGGCGAAGAGCATAGGGACACGTGTTGATGATAGGGAGTTCCACAGGCCCAGATTTCAGAGGACAATGGGAAATTGGATCAGATTAAGAAACCTCTGAAATATGGGGATTATAATAATTCTTATCAGATAGGCTGGCTGTGGAGACTAAATGAGATCAAGCATTTTGCACGGTGCCTGGCACAGAGTAAGTGCCCTGTAAACACTGGCCTTAATTGTTATCATCACAACGGGTGGGTGATAGAGGCCTGAATCCAGATCTTGTTACTCCAGAGCCAGGTGCTTTCCACAACCTCACAGGGCCAGTGTGGCGGCACAAAAGGTTCTGGCATAGGGACTGCTTGGAATCAGCACTGTGAGTTTCTGTGGGTCTCACCAACCCTTTCTATGCCTCTCTGTACCTAAAGGAAACAAGGCTGCCTAATAAAAAAAATCAGGGCTATGACAATTGAACCAAAAGCAAACAAGTCACCAGTTACTGGCTGATGGCTTGTTTGTTTTTAATATTCTCGTCTACAGACTGGAAGGGAAGTGTGCCCTAGTGTATTTGCCTAGTTTATCTGTACAGAGTGACAATCTGTTTCAAACTGAAGACATTTGTTTACAGTCAATTGCTTTTACAAAATTCAGAGGTTATAACTACTCAACTGTTTATCTGATATCCGGAATTAGGAGATGTAGCCTCCTAGATACAGTTCCATTTTAAATGATGTAGAATTTCCTGAACGAGATTTTCCTCAATCCACGTGGTTTCTTCTTCAGAACTGGGTATAGCTTGCATTTAAGTGGCATTTTATGGAAAATAGGTGCCCTAACTGTGTGTCTATGTTGTTGTTGTTAGGTGCTGTTGAGTCAGTTCCCCTCCAACTCATAGTGACCATATGCACAACAGAATGAAACACTGCTCAATCCTGTGCCATCGTCACAACTGTTGCTATGCTTGAGCCCATTGTTGCAGTCATTGTGTCAATCCATCTCGTTGAGGGTCTTCCTCTTTTTCGATGACCTTCTACTTTACCAAGTATGCTGTCCTTCTCCAGGGACTGATCCCTCCTGATAATATGTCCAAACTATGTATGAGACGTAGTCTCACCATCCTTGCTTCTAAGGAGCACTCTGGTTGTACTTCTTCCAAGACAAATTTGTTCGTTCTTCTGACAGTCCATGGTATATTCAATATTCTTCACCAACACCAGTCCATTTCAGCTCACTAATGCCTAGGATATCTATCTTTATGCGTTCCATTTCATTTTTGACGATTTCCAATTTTCCTAGATTCAAACTTCATACATTCCATGTTCCGATTATCAATGGATGTTTTCAGCTGTTTCTTCTCATTTTGAGTTGTGCCACATCAGCAAACGAAGGTCCCAAAAGCTTGACTCCATCCACATCATTAAGGTCAACTCTACTTTGAGGAGGCAGCTCTTTCCCAGTTGTATTTCGAGTGCCTTCCAACCTGAGGGGCTCACCTTCTGGCACCATATCAGACAATATTCTGCTGCTATTCATAAGGTTTTCACTGGCTAATTCTTTTTAGAAGTAGACTGCTGGGTCCTTCTTCCTAGTCTCTCTTAGTCTGGAAGCTCAGCTGAAACCTGTCCACCATAGGTGACCCTCCTGGTATTTGAATACCTGTGGCATAGCTTCCAGTATCACAGCAACACACAAGCCCCCACAGTACGACAAACTGACAGACACTTGGAGGGTGTGTCTATAGACACGTATATTTTTCACAGCATATATTTAAGGGGTGGGGAATGACACATAGCTTTGGTTGTATTAAAATGATGTATGCAAAAGCAATTATGAAAACAGTAATAATAACAATTTCTGTTTACTGAGTGTATCCTTTATTCCATGAGCTGTGCTAATTCCGTTAGAATACGGAGATCTAATCCTCAGAACAATCCTGAAAAGTATTTCTGGGTTCACAAAAGGAAAAAAGTAGAGTCCAAATAGGTTAAATAATTTTTCCAAGGTCCCAACCAGTAAGTGGCTGAGTCAGGATTTAACCCCATGTTGACCTATTTCCAAAGCCTGAACTGTTTCCTGTGCTTGGGCCACATGCTGCTTATTCAGATAACAAATCACTCGCAAAAGCATTGTTGCCTTTGTTCCTCCCAATAACCTTGAGAGGTATTCATTTAGAGTGGTGGTTCTTGAAGTGTGGCCACCAGACCAGCCATAGCAGCATCAAGTGGAAAATTATTAGGCATACAAACTTGTTTCTACTGACTTGCTGGGTGGGGCCCAGCACAAGCCCTCCAGGTGATTCTGACGTAAAGGCGTTTGAGAACCTATAACATTAGAACTTACAGATACAAAAATCTCTGCTGATAGCACCCAGGGAAGTTGTAAAAGATGTTAGAGACCAAGCCTTACCCCAAGGGTTCTGACTCGACATCTGAAGGCCTTTCTATAGCAGCCTCAGTCTGAGGCCGGGGTAACTGCATTGCTGAGAAGGGCCGTTCTCGACTGTGGTTGCTCATCTGCACCAAGAGCCTGCGTGACCAGGGCCTTGGGGCAGCGGCTATGTTATCTACACTGAACACCAACTAACTCAATTAATTGAGTCAGGGGAAGCTGCAGCTCAGAAAAATTCAATTTGGGGCTAGGAGAGCAACTGGGAGCCTTGCTTAGAAATGGCCCCTAGAAAATTAGATTTAGTGCTTTTTATTGCATGCTGAGCTATATCAGGTCCTTCTCAGCTTCCCCTCTGGCCCCATAAACCTCTCCTCCCTGCGGAGACTGAGTGATTTGCACGTAGCCTTTGCTGTCCCCTTTCCTCAGGCTTCCTGGAAAGGGCAGGAGCCTGTCTAAACTCAGAGGAGTCACGAGGTCTCCCCAAGGGGCAGAGGAGCATGGAGGCCTCTCCCCCAGGCCCAGAGCTTTCCGCCAGGGTACAGCACCTTTTCTAGGCAAGGGCAGCAGAAAAATATACTCCATAAGTTCATTTGTTTAGAGGGAAAACGATAGCAAAAGAAAAATCTGGATGATGGGGAGTTTATGAGAGAAATGTGAATGGTAATGGTGGTATGGATTAATATTCTACATATTTCAAAGCATTGCCACACATTATGTCATTTATTCCTCCAACTAACTACCTTTTGAACTAGATATTATTTTGATGCCCGTTTTCGAGATGAAAAAAGTGATGCTCAGAAAGTTTAAGGGACTTGCCCAAGTTTGCATAACTAATCAACTGGGCTGAGACTAAAACCTAGGTCTTTTGACTCAGATTCATTCATCTTTCTACCATCAGCTGAGTATGTGGCCCCCCATAGGCCCCTTTGCCATCTCCCACCCTGCCCTTTCGCAGACTGGCTGTCTGAGAAACTACCCACCCCGTTCCAGCGGGATTCACGGATATGAATATGGAAGGTAATCCTATAATGGAAGCACATTGTTCCTTTGTGACCCCAATGACCTAAACCTGCCGATGTTTCTCGATAACCTGAGAAAGGGCCCAGGCACCCACCTCCTGCCCAACCCCCAGCCTGGACCGCAGTCACTCACCCAGCTGCCACTCGGGGGAGCACATGGTCTGCATCATCCAGATGGGCAGGGTGGGCTCCAGCATGGCCACCCCCATGTTGGCAAAGCAGAGGGAGCCTGAGAGAAAGCCGACAGTTCCCCCTATGAGCCACCCGCCACTGCCCCGAAGCCCAGCCTCTCCCAGCCCAAAGCTCAGCCATTGCCTGCTTACCTGCAGCCACCAGGATATAAGGGTCTTTGAGAAGTGTGAAGAGCGGAGTCCCCTTGACACTCTGAGAACAAACATTTCCATTTGTATTGTGTGTACATCTCTCCTATAGTCACAGAATCTGAGAGTGTTCAGACAGGGCCTTAGCATCATCTACCTCAGCTCCTTTACTGTACAGATGAGGAAACCCAAGTCCAGAGAAGGAAAGTGACCTTGCCAAGGTCACAGAGTGAGCTGGTGGCAGAGCACCTACTGTGTGCAGGGAAAGCAAAGTGGTAGTCACAAACAGGGGAGCAAAATGTTCCAGACATGATTCTTGCCTTCAAATGACCAACAGTCAGGTCAGAGTTGATTGTTAGCGAGTCAGGATTGAACAACAGGTGTCTGGACATCTGATGCAGATACTAGATTTCACTGACACTCATGTTCTTCCTAAGAGAATCACAGGCAGAACGCTGAATCCAAAATGTGATGGTGAAGGCAATGACTCAGAAAGCTACTCAAGATTTCTAAGTTCTTTGTTTTGAACCACTTTGAGCCAAACTGGCCTGGGGTAGAGGAAGGGGCGTAAGATTTGGAGTCAGAACAACAACAAAAAAAACTGCTGTCATTGAGTCGATTCTGACTCATAGCAACCCTATAAGATAGACTAGAACACCCCATAGGGTTTCCAAGGAGCAGCTGGTGGATTCAAACTGCTGACCTTTTGGTTAGCAGCTGAGCTCTTAACCACTGAGCCACCAGAGAGTCAGAACATCTAGGTGAAAATGCTAGCCTAACTGTCTAACTCTAGTTTCTCCCCCTCCTCAGCACATACTCTTCTTTCCAGCCAAACTAGGTCCCTCCACCTTCCTTCAATACATCCCAGCAGTCCCTCAGCCTTCATTGTTGCCTTTGCTAAACTACCTTCCTTCTCACCTCACAGGCCCAAATCCCACCCATTCTCCAATGTCAAGCTCAAATTGCTCCATCTTTTCTACAGTGTTCCCTGATGCAGCAGCTGGAACTTCTGTCTTTCAAACTTCCTGAATATCATGTCCCAGTCTTCTATGGTGTTTGCTACATCCTATTTTGTAATATATTGAATAGTTTTGGTATGGTAACCACCTCGCCACACACACAGACTTAGATTAAGATATTTGCTGTTATTGTGGTTGTTGTTAGCTGCTGTTGAGTTGGCCCCCAACTCATGGCTACCCCATGCACGTTGAGATGAAGTGCTGCCTGGTCCTACACCATCCCCGTGATCAGTTGAGGATTGGACTGTTGTGATCCATAGGGGTCTATGAACTGATAAGGAGTGATTTTCAGGACATATTAAGTGAGGAAAAAAAAAGCAGAGTGTACTGCAAAGGAGAATATATACTATGCTACATTTTATGTAAGAAAAAGGGGAAATAAAAAACATATATAAAATTATTTATTTTTGAAAAAAAAATAACACAAAGATAAGCCAGAAAACAATCAAATGGATTGCATACAAGAGGGAGGGACGATAGGGTAAAAGGATTGTGGATTCTCTGAGTGTACCTTTTTGCATAGGTTTCACTTTTAGAGGTAATATTCTACATATTCAAAAAATAAAATTATATGAGTAAGGATAGGGAAAATATAACTACATGAAAGAAAAACGAATGAACGTAACTCTATTTCCAAATACATAATGAAGGGGAAATAAAGAACTAATGCAAGTAATTTCTGAACACAGTACTTGGGCTACAGTCCCTAAGTCTAAGGAAAAAAGAACAGCAAAAATCTTGAACACTTCTTAGTAGGCTTATTTTTGTAGTAGTATATAAGGAGTCCCTGGGTGATGCAAAGAGTTAAGCGCTCTACTATTAGCCAAAAGGTTGGTGGTTCAAACCTACCTAGAGGTGCCTCAGAAGACAGGCCTGGTGATCCGCTTCCAGGTCATAACTTTGAAAACACTGTGGAGCAGTTCTACTCTGCACACTTGGGCTCGCCATGAGTCAGAATTGACCCAATGGCAACTAACAACAACAACATGGTTATATAAACTATAACTGATTTATAGGTATTGTAGAATTGCACACATAGGTAATTGTGTTGCTTTTGTTGGGAGCCAGGATTCTCACCATGAAAGAAGTGTGATATATAAATGAATGTAGGAAACAAGGAAAAATCCTATAGTGTTGCATTGAAATTGAAGGTCTGAATATGAATACATATGGTCAGCTGCGTCATGATTCCCAGTACTGTATGATTGTGTAATCTGATGTGATTTCCTTATGTGTTGTAAACTCTATCACTATGATGAGGTTATATGTGACCTCCTTATGTGTTGTAAACTCTATCACTATAATGAGGTTATACTGACGAGGTTTACAAGATTGGATAGTGTCTTAATCCAATCTCTTTTGAGATATAAAAGAAAGAAGCGAGCAGAGACACCCGGGAAACTCCTACCACCAAGGAAGCAGTTCCGGGAGCAGAGCGCATCCTTTGGACCTGAGGTTCCTGCGCAGAGAAGCTCCCAGACCAAGGAAAGACTGATGACATGGACCTTCCTCCAGAGCCGACAGAGAAATTGGACTTGTCTACTGGACTGTGAGAGAATAAACTTCTCTTTGTTAAAGCCATCCACTTGTGTTATTTCTGTTATAGCAGCACTAGATGACTAAGACAAGGACATATCACTTACATGATGTCCTGACTGGGGATATAGAAGGTCAAGAGTGTAATGAGGAAACATCAGACAAACCAAATTTAGAAACATTCTCTAAAATAACCGGTCTGTATTCTTTAAAAATATCAATGTCATGAAAAACAAAGACAGACCGAGAAAATTTTACAGATTAAAGGAGATGAAAGTAATGTGAAACCTAAATGCGATACACAATCTTGGTCTGAATCCAGGACTGGAGATAAAAATCCCAAAACAATGTCATGAAGAGCATTATTGGGACAATTGACAAAATCAGAGCAAGGAGTGTAGATTAGATTAAAATATTGTATCAATGTTCTAGTTCCTGAATTTGATACTACTGCGGTTATTAAGGAGCCCTGGTGGCGCCATGATTAAGCAGTCCGCTCCCTGGTGGTCTGCTCTGGTAAAGATGTATAGCCTAGGAAACCCTATGGGACAGTTGTACTCTGTTCTATAGGGTCGCCATGAATCAGAATCAACTTGACAGCAAACAACAACGGTGGTTATATAAGAAAATATCCCTGTTGGTAGGGAAAACACCATGAAATAAAAAGTGTAAAGGACTGTTGTAAACAAAGAACTTTCAAATGATTCAGGAAAATCAATTATGTGTGTGTGTGGAGAGGGAGAGAGGAGAGGAGCAAGGAGGGAGAACGGCAAAACAAATACGGCAGAATGTTAAAAATTGGTGAAGAATCTGCAGGTACAGGAGTTCTATTATTCTTACAACTTTTCTGTGCATTTAAAATTTATGTCAGAATAAAAAAAGTTTTAAATGCTAATGTTTTTCTCCAGGATCAAATTCTTTTCTGAAGTATTTGTTGATGTTCCTCTGCTAATATCTCAGTCCTGAGCTTAATCTATTTGTTGAGGAATTCATCACTACTGGCACATAGTAGGTGCTTAATAAATAGTGCTGGAACCATTTGGAGAAATGTTTCTAAGCCTAGGCAGGTATTGGAGTGTGCTGCTCTGAGCACATTCCAGGCCTGGGAGTCTTTGCAGAAGGTGTTTGCTGACCCTTGCTCTGAGGAGTCCTGAATGGGTTGCGGTTACTACTTCCCTCCCCAAGGCCCAGAGATTCTACTCCTAGAGCCAGTTTCCAAAGGATGGCACCATCTCAGTTGACTGCAGGAAGCTCCTGGTCAGTCTGGGAGAACTGGCACTCTAATACTATCAATTATGTCATTGTTTCTAATTCTTTCGGATGCTTCTCTGCTGTCCCTCAATTTCTTTATCCGTAGAATGAGGCTAATAATAGGACTTAGCTCATGGAATTGATGGGAATATTGAATAAGATAAAGCTTAGGCAATACTAAGCACAGTTCCTGGCACATAAAAAGCTTTATGGTTAGATATTATTATAATTATTTCTAGATTATCTTGGAGTGTAAAATGCAAAGTCAAGGTCTTTAGATCAAAATTTCCCATGTTTTCTGCACTGTCTTATCTTTCTTTCTTCATGGTTTGATATGGATTTCCCAGAGCCATCTTTGGCTTGAAGTCAGACAAATACCAACTCTGATATTTATTAACTGCATCAGAACTATAGCCTGTTAGGAATGCTCTTGGAGGTAGTCTTTTATTGGGGAAAGAATTGCCTGGATGGCCACTACAATCTTCTCCAGCTCTGAGATGTTATAACTCTATGGATACTCAGGTCTTAGCATCATTATCTCCCGGTTCTAAGTTATACTAGAGACTAAAACTTCCTTGTCTTCACGAGGCCCTTTTCCCATCTTTGTCCAACATCAACCCAGACTCTTCTGTCATTCCCCACACTATCCTAAATGTAACCACGGTGCAATGGGTCACTTTTATGTGAACTTATGGCCCACCAAGGAGATTGGACAGTTTGCTAATAATACAAATAAGATTCATAGCACGTTTGTGAGGGTGGAACAATGCAAATAAAGTGTATGGAGCCCTAACGAGGGGATTGGTCAGTTTCGCCATCCAGTTGGCCTAAAATGAGGTGGAAAGCAGGGACCTCACTACCACCAAGAAGAAGAGACAGGAACAGAGTGCGTCCTTTGGACCCTGGGTCCCTGTGCTGAGAAACTCCTAGACCCAGGAGACAGAGAGAAAGGGAGAGCTATAACACCAGAGACAGTGCCAAGACAGTGAGAAGTTGTGGCAGAGAAACAGTGGCAGCAGAACCAGGGGACTGGCACGGGACAACACAGTGGGCTTCCTGGTCCACAAAGCAAGTCAGTTACAATAAGGTATGCCACCTCACAAGCAAGAGAGCTGACAGCCTTCAGACAGAAAGATTTCTGGAGGAGTGTAGTGTCCCTGGGCACTTGTTGGTGGAGTTAAAGAGCTTTGTAACACTTGCCGGAGCAGAACAGAGGCTGGGCCAAGGGGCCAAGGGCCAGAGAGAGGACTGCCTGCAGGCACAACTGAGAAGAGGCTATCCTGACCAAACAACTGTATCCTGAGTCATTCCTGATCCTGAATTGTAACCTGTTACTTCCCTAATAAACCCCATAACAGTGAGTATGGTTTGTGAGTTCTGTGTAGCCATTGCAATGAATCACTGAATCCAGTAGAGAAGTAGAAAGTGCCACAGAAGGGACAACTGGTGTCAGAATTGGTAAAAAGATTGGAGGATGGAGGTATGTCTGACCACCTCATAGAAATCAGCCTTAGGAATCAGCCTTGGGCTGATGTTGATCTCGATTCTCCTCTCTCCCCCTGAAGTTAGAGGACCTCTGATCCTACCACACCATTTTTACAGTAACCCTACCTGGGAATCCAAGGACAATTCTCACTTTCCCTGACCTTACCTCCTTCACCTTTTTTCTTATGGTTTGGTATGGATGATCTAGAGATGCTTGGGTATCTGCACGTAGCCATTCCATATATCTCTTGGCAACAGAGCTTGGTATTTACTTACCTCAGGGGAGATTTTTGAAGGCTGTAGGATGCAGAACTGTAGTGCTAAGAAAGAAAGAGGGAGAAAGAGACAGTTCAGTTTGCCCATTGATTAGCTGGAAGCTTCAATAACAGCCACATTGCTATCATCCTATCACATACAAATATACGCACCATGTAAATATCTAACTCCCTGAGTTTCTCCCTTCTTTCCTGGGATGAGGCAATCCTTGATGCATCAAAACATTCCCACACCACACATTGTGAGTCAAGACTAATACCACAGCATAATCTGGGTTGTGATCTAGGTTGTCATCTGCATGGTGGCCTCTGATGATGACTTACCTCCATCCAGTACTGCCAGGAAGGCCAAGATGAGGAAGGGAGCAGACTTCCCAACAAACTCATACATCACACTTCCAAAGGGAGCACCCACTGAAAAGGCAAAGCAGGCACAGATTCCAGAGTTGAGGGCCAGCTCCCAGCCAGTGTGGATTTGTCCACATTTACCCGATGGTAATTGTATTAGGGACAAATGAATAATGCAAGCAATGTACTTTCAAATGGTTACAGAAAATTAATCAACTAACTAACTAATTAATTAATTGTGTGGGGGGGATGACAGAGAGTGAGACATCATTTATTGAGAGCTACTAGGGCTACTCCATCACATGTCTGTCAAGTTGTTGTACTATGGTGGCTTACATGTTGCTATGAAGCTGGAAGCTATGCCTCCGATATTTCAAATACCAGCAGGGTCATCCACGGTAGACACGTTTCAGCAGAGCTTCCAGACTAAGACAGACTAAGAAGAAAGGCCTGGCAAGCTACTTCAGAAAATTAGCCAATGAAAACCCCAAGAATCACAACAAAATATTGTTCGATTTAGTGCTGGAAGATGAGCTCCCTGTGTTGGAAGGCACTCAAAACGTACAGTAGCCACAATAATGGACTCAAACATACCAATGATCGTGATGATGGCACAGGACCAGGTAACATTTCCTTCTGTTGTACACTGGGGTCGCCATGGGTTGCCATGCTGACTTGACAGCAATTACCGTATTTTTACGCAAATAATACATACCTTCTACGTTTGTTTGCCAACCATGCCCTCCCCCATGAGATATTTTCATAAACACCACTATACCAGATTTTTTTGACATGTTGCTGTAAAAAAAAAAATTAGCATGCTTACGAATATACTTCAGAAGGGGTGCAGGTGCAGTTGGTATAAAAATACAGTAACAACAACAACTCGGGCTACTAGGGGCTAAGCCCCACATAACATTCTGGGAATTCAGAGATGGTGAAGACCTGGTCCCTGCACACAAGGTGCTCACCTTCTAGGGGAAGAGATGTGTGTATGAGTAAAGAGAGGAAATACACAAATAATTACAACACTTGATTAAAAGTGTGACAGTAAAAGTTTACATTGCACAGTGGACTGAGTCAGAAAGCTAAGGTAGCCAGAAGGACTTTACCAAAGTTAGTAAGACCTATGGGAAAGACGCATGTGTGAAGGACACAGAGGTGCCAGAAAAGAGAGGGTAGTTGGAGAACAAAGAGTAAAAAGTCAGCGTTACTTGAATATAAGTGGGTGTTCGGGAGGGGAAGAGTAGAGACAAGGATGGTTGAGGCTGAATAGCAAAGGGCTCTGTATAGCCTGGTGAGGTGTCTACTTGATCTAGTGGGTTAAGGATAAATAACACTGCTTTTTGGTAAAGGAGAAACCGCCCACCCTGGGCTTAGAAGATTCTTCTGGTAGCACTGCAGAGAAAGGTGAGAATGTATAAGAGATCAGGCAGGAGGCTGGGACCGTACTCTGACTGAGATATGATGGGGATCTGACCTTGAAGAAGTGGCTGCAGAGGACATGATGGGCTTGTTATTCATTCGGGAGTGAGAGGCAATAAAGAATATCAGGTCAAACCAAAGTTTTAACTTAGGAGTTTGGGTAAATTGATATTAACAAAGGGTAGGATTTTTGTCTGCTCTCCTCCCCTTGGGAATGAGGGGTGGAGAGTTGGCCAGGAAAGAAACTTCTGGTGTTTTATTCATCTTAAATTAAGATTCCTGTGTCTTATCTCCTTTATTAACTTGTAAGCTTCTAGAGGACGAGGACTATGTCTGGAGCTTCTTACCTATATCCCTACTGTGCTAGCGTTGTGCTTGGCATGTAATAAATGCTTGGCAAAAGTATGTGGCTTGCTGGACTAGCCAATTAAGCCATATGAGGGATGGATCTCAAACAAAGTATATCCTAATGATTGGCAGCTTGGGATTCGGAGCCCAGAAGATCAGAGCCTATATCCTGGTTCTGACATTTCCTTACTGTGTGACCTTGGATGGACTATTTAACCTTTCTTATCCTCGCCTCTATAAGGAGGGCAATTGTTCTCCTTCATAGCATGGTGGTGAAGGTTAAAGGACATAATGTCTGAAATGTGTTTAGCACAGAATCTGGCAAAGAGTGCCCTCTCGTGTTCAATATTAAAGCGCTGGCTGTGCGTGGAGGCAGACGTGAGACAGGCAGTGGCCGCTAATGTGGGCAGGTTCACCGCCTTATACAGGCTACGTTTCTTGACCTCACTCATGCCCCAGTGGGCTGTTTGACTTCTTAAGGAGAAAGAGGTTTTGCCTTTCCTGGGTGCTTGGGAAGGACTCAAATCAGGATTGGGGCAGGGAGGGAAGGAAAATACTTGTCTTACATGATCTTGGGAACATCTGCCTCCTGGGGTCATCTTTGGAGAATATGTAGTATCCAACCCTCCTGAATCTAGATCTAGAAATAGGTGCCACTCACCCAGCAGTCCCAAAGCCAAGCCTCCCAGAGCTATTCCCATGGCACGCCCCCGTTCATAGTCATTGGTGTAGACACTTGCCAGCATTCCAAGACCTGAAGAGAGAGGAACAGATGGAGTTAGCATACGGAAGCTCTCTATCTGCCTCTCTGACAGAGTCCTTGGTCTCTGTTCCATTATATCTTTAGGGATAATCTTAGTTACTAAGTCTCCATCTGAGGGGTTTTACAAAACTTTACCCAGAGTATTTTACAAATACGGTCCCCACTGGTTCCTCAAATTTTCACATTGCTCAGTTCTTCTGTTCAGAGTACTGCAGGGCTTAGAAAAGCAAAGACCTCTGGGAAGGGTAATACAGAATACCATTTTCCAATTATATTGCATTTCATATCATTTTATCATTTCCTTAGCACGTTTCCCTTAAAGAATGGATTATGGGGCAGGTCAGGGAAAGAAAAAGCTATGAACACACAGCACTATTCTGTTTAAACAGGGTGCCCAAGGAACAGCATGAAAGTGCTGAGTACCTGGAAGGGAGCACCAGCTGAATGACGAAAGGCCACTGTGAAATAGTAGAGAGTAGAAGACCCCTTACGACTGACTAGCTGTGAGATTTTAGCCAAGTCACTTAAACTCTCTCAGATCCATTTATTCATGTGTAACATATATGTTTCATGGGATTAAATTCAATAATGTATGTGGCAATGTTTTGCAAACTGCAATGATATTACTAGTAGTACTATCAATACTGTTTCTATAAAATGTTAAGAGAGGCACAAAGAAAGGACCACAGAGTGGTACTAAATAATAGTCTGGCCTACTTCATTGCTTTAACCTAGGTTGCTCTGATCTGAACTAGCTACATCCGAATACTATCAGAGGAAGTTATGTCAGACATAGGGATTTGCAGGCCCCTGGTGGCGCAGTGGTTAAGAGCTTGGCTGCTAACCAAAAGTTCAGCAGTTTGTATCCATGAGGCGCTCCTTGAAAACCCTATGGGGCAGTTCTATTTGTCCTATAGGGTCGCTGTTAGTTGGAATCGACTTGGCGGCAATGGGTTTTGTTTTGTCGTCAGCAATTCTACAATTACCTTGTTTCTGAGTCAAATTCTACCTAGTAGGATGATATTTTCCTTGATTTCCTCAAATACAGCTTATAGATTCCAAAGATAGTTTTTGGTAAGAAGTGTGTGTGTGTGTGTGTG